CCTCTCAAACTTTCTGCATGTCCCATTTGTCACAAAAAATAAGGTGTGCAGAGGGTTTGGGAGGCCTGCAGAGTGCAAAAACTATTTTAAAAAAATTACCTCTTCAAAATCTTGGTGTGTCTTATACTCCGGTGCGTTTTATTCTCCAAAAAATACGGTACATTATCCAAACCTTCCCCGCAGAGCTAAGCTATTTCTTACTTAGCTAACATTGAATCTATACTATACAGAATGAATCAATCAAATTAAAATAATTAAACTGATTTTTTGAAATTTTCAATTAATATTAAAATTTTTGTCCTAACCAGAAGTGGGAATCGTCTTTGTAGCCAGAGAAATGAATTTTTTCCCCTGCAGGATTTCCAGAGAGGCTCTGTGCCAGTACAAGGAGGCATTCTTAAGTTCTGACTCCACCTATTTTAGCCCTGCTCCAGCCTTGTTTAGAACTGGCATTGTTCAAGTTCAAGTTCAAACATTTTGGAAGGCATTCCAAATACTCCGGTCTAGTTGCTGCCAGGGGAGATATTTGGGGTAGGTAGAGGAGAGTGACTTCAGAGCCTTCTGAGAGCAGGGCCCTTTCCTTCCATGCTCTGACTTTTCATTTAAGAGGTGCTATTTCTGGACAGGATACTAATCCACTGGGCAAACTTTCATTTTTTTCCCAATTGAAAAACGAGAGCACAAGGATCAGAGGTGTTGTTTCACCTTTCTTAAAACTTACTACGATAGCATTGTGGGATAGCCTCGCTTTAAAAATCTATCCGGTTCTTTTGCAGGAAATGGTGGTAAATTGAGCCTCTTTTAATAGCTGTCAACAATCTTAGGTCTAAAGAAAGTTTTTAAATTTCTCTGCAACTTAAAATCAAGTTTGACTTACCTCAGAACACTTGGTAAAATGATAATCTGCATTAGTCATCCGTGGGTTGAAGCATGGTATATGAAAAATATTTCTCCCAATTCATTCCTGGGTAGAATAGGTCTTTTTAAAAAAAGCATTTTGAATTCTTTGCTGTCCCACCACACAATTTTTGCTTGAATTTAAAGTACCTTATATAATTGTGTCCGGCATGTACATATTCAGCAATTTTGCTTTTAAATATTGAAGCTTTAGTATATTCAGTGTGTTTTATGTGGAAAAACTATCACTCTGCCGCGAAAGTTTGTTTCTCTCTGTGTTATATCATGATATACGGGTTCTGGGAAAGGAGTATTTATAATAAATCTTGATCTTAAGGAGAAAGAGAACATTTTTATTTTATGCATTATTATGTCTAATTTGGGGAGAATGTTGTTTTGTAATTTCGATACACAATTAAAATTAATCCACAATCACAAATATCCCTAAAGTAGCTAAAACACACATGATAGATGAGATATAATCCAAGCTGTTAATGTGACAAGGAGGAATGCTTTACTCCACCATAAAATTCATACTGAGGCAATGCCTTTATAAACCCAATTCATGGGGTTTTTTTAATGGGAAGGTTATAAGTGTCCATCATTTTTCATCATGTAACATTATTAAAGAGAACAAGAGAGAGAAAAACAGTGAGAAGTAAACTTGGCAGATGTTCCAAATAGACTGGCAGAGTTTGCAGCCACAGCTGGAGTACTTACATTTCCTACCATCGTGTAAATCAGGTTTTGTGAAGTGAAAAGGTAGGGCGAGGTTATACCAAGAAAGTAACTAAAATTTGGCCTCATTTTTGGAACCATGCTAAGTACTCCTGTTGGCTTAATTTTCTTTCCAAAAAAATCGATGCAGTTTATTGAAAATTAGCTTTGGTCGGATTGCTTGTCCTCCAGTTCCCTCTAGTTGCCGTGTTCATGGTTGACTGCTATCGATTTTGTAGTCAAACCAGTATCACCCATGCCTGACAAGGAAGCAAACAAAATAACCAACAACTTTATGAAAGGAACTTAGGGAGGCAGGGAATCTGCCCCCATGGAAAAGTAGTGCAATCAGAACTTGTGACTGAACTGCCTAATTTTCTACGACTTTACATCTCTTTTTTCCCCCTGCCCCTGCTGATAATTCATGCTTGTTCACCGGTAATGCTGTTTTATCTCTGCTAGCAAATGCAATCAAAGCTGAACATTTGAAAAAAAACATGAATAAAATCAATAGCTGAAGGGGAGCAGAGACATATGCATACCATAGGAAATTAGGAGACCCAGTGTGCAGTTGTCACATCTCTGAAAGGCTAAAAAATTATATTCTGGAAATGAAATGTGCCAGAAAAATATATTTGATGCATGAAATTTATGTAGAAAGGAAAGGAAGATAAAATACTTAATTTTGCTGGAAGCAGGATTATTATCTGCTAAAGGAATATCATACAATTGGTAAAAGTTTTTGTTGCTGTTGCTGTTTAAATTGTTGTCAGAAATAGCAGAAAAATCCCTCTACATTCTTCCTAAACTTCTATATAGGTTATTTTTCATTCAGTTTCCATAGTTCACAACCATTTGTACATAGTTTTTCCATTTGTATAAGCAAAAATGTCAGATTAACATTGGTGGGTCTCACTAGTCAGATTAGTTTTAATTTTGTTTCCTCCAACAACATATCTAGAACGAAATTCAGCCAGAATCTAAAACATTGCTTTATAATCAATATTAGGGTGAAATGAAATGGAAACAAAAATAAAGCATTTTATATACTGAAAGTATTTCATATTATATACTTAAGTACTTTTATTCCAAGTATTCTAACAGTAGGCTTGAAAAAAAAATCTGCCTCTATTTCTCTCTCTCCTCTTTTAATTAAAAAAAAATGACCCACATTTTGTACTAGTAATCAGATATGAGTCTCAACCCACAGAGGCAACAGATCAAAATCTGAGATGTTCCAGTTTTACATATCTCTCTCATATTGCCGACATAACAAAACCTTACGTGACTTGTACAGATTACAAAGCAAATGAGTAAAGGCTTTGTAATAATGTTGAACCGTTGCCTAGTTCTAGTCATAAAACTTGTGAACCCATGACTAATTATCATGGAATGCAATGGATATGTTCATTTAGATTACTTGTAGTAGTGATAGACAGACTTTTATGGGTTTGAGGGAAAGGGCAGGAATAAGCAAATGAATGAATCCCAATACTCCTTTTTCATGTTTATTGGTTGAATTCAGCAGCCAGTTGGGAGGTTCTTAAAATAAAGAAAAAGTCTTTGATCTATGGTGGACTTTATGAAAATATCCAAGTAATTTGCTTTCCTTCCTTCATTCTGTTTCTCTCTCTCTCCTCCTGTTATTTTCCCCACAGCAACGCTGCCAGTAGGGTTAGACAGAGTGATTAGCTCAATTATATCCAGCTAGCTTTTACATTTAAGGCAGGACTAGAACTCACAATCTCTTGGTTTCCAGGTCTGGTGCCTTACCCACTGGACCAAACTGACTTTAATATGCAAGTGGCTTGCCATTTTCTAGTCCAGAAGCAGTGAAGCATGCTTTATAACAGAAGGGAGATTCATTTGGAGGAAATACAGACCCTATACCAATGATGGTTAACCTTTTTGGCACTGAGTGCCAAAACTGGAGCATGTGCATGAGCGGCAGAATTAGGAAGAGAGCAGCTGGCCAGCTCTTCCGGGTTTTGTTGCGCACACATTCGCTGCCAGTTGCTGTCTTCCGGGTTCTGGCATGTGCATACATGCCGGCCAGTTGGTCAACAGCTGGCCAGTGTACATGTGTGTGATGCAACCCGGAAGAGCAGCTAGCGACAGCACAAGTGCCCACAGAGAGGGCTCTGTGTGCCACTTCTGGCACAAGTGCCATAGGTTCGCCATCACAGCCCTATACATTAGTAATAATAGCAAAACCTAAAACCTAGCTAGCTACATGCTACCAGGAAAGTCCTAGACCTAGAGCATGTAGTGAGGGAGGGAGGCAGAAGACTGATCTCAAATTAGCAGTCTCTTAGACAAACAACAGGGTGGGTGAAAGACAAGAAACACAGAGTTTAACCCTTAACTATTTACTACTACTGAGTACTGCCCTCTTGTGGTCAGATGGTATGACATACTAAAAAAGAAGTGCCATTGAATTTGGACCTCCAGTATGTTTATCTTCTTAGTCTAATCTACAGTGCTGAGATTTCTTGATGGTCTTATCTAGAAGCCATGAAAAAATGTCTGGGCTTGCCCTATATAAGCATCATCCTTTCTGTGGTTTATAGAGAACTGGTAGTGATGGTGAATTTCAGTTCAGTCTCAGAAATATAGATTGCTCATTTCCATATGTGTTGTAGTGGGTAACACATCTGCCTAAGATGTAATACAGCACAGGTTCTAATCCCAGTAAGGGTATGGCTAGCTGATGAGAGCTAAATAGCTTGAAATAGATCTATACTAGTCTCCCTTTATTTATTTATCAGCACAAATACAACACANATCTATCTATCTATCTATCTATCTATCTATCTATCTATCTATCTATCTATCTATCTATCTATCTATCATCTATCTTTTAATTTATCCAAAACGAACAACCTCAGCTAAAATCCATATAAAGATATGCATTCAAGTAATGATCACTATTGGTCTCAGATACTTACTTTTATTGTCACTATGAACTACTTCTCCCTGGAAAGCGGATGCAGAAAACAGTCATGATTAAAAAAAAGAGCAGCTCACAGAATTAGCCTTTTTGATGGATTTAATATTGCATCTTCTACTAGGGGAAAGATCCAATTGTTTTGAAGCTCCCTTTTGTGTTTTTCACATGGATAGTCTTGGGATTCTCCACCTGGGACCTCAGAGTCCAGCTGGAGTTCACTTTCCTTAAAACAGCACTTTTCCAGCAACAAAGATATTAAGAATGGCAATCTTAATGCACGCACAGTTAACAAATCAAGAAGCCGACACTGCCTCCTTTTTCTGGCTGTTTATTAGGGCTGTGTGCTGGGTTTAATTTCAATCTTTAAATATAGCAAATTTGCAACAGCTAGCAATTAAGGATATAGTTACAGAGAGAGAATTACCTAGGGGCCAAAATGACTGTGCTGCAACATCACCATTACAGTCACTATATGCGGTAGAGGAAAGGTGGCTTGTCACCCACTTAGCAATCACTGAGATTTTCTGTTGAACACTATAATGAACAGTAATATGTAAACTATGGATTCTGAAAATGGGGAACAGGAAAGGCTAGAAATATGAGGTTTTGTATGTGTAAATAATGGGGGAATTTTTGTAGCCGTAGGAATGACAGTTGCAGTGGTGAAATTCAATTTTTTTTTACTACCGGTTCTGTGGGCGTGGTTGCTTGGTGGGCATGGCAGGGGAAGGATACTGCAAAATCCTTATTCCCACCTCATTCCAGGAGAAGGATACTGCAAAATTTCCATTCCCACCCAACTCCAGGGGAAGGATAATGCAAAACTTCAATTCCCACCCTATTCGAGGGGAAGGATACTGCAAAATCTCCATTCTCACCCTATTCCAAGGAAGGATACTGTAAAATTTCCATTCAAACTCCACTCCAGGGGAAGGATACTGCAAAATTTCCATTCCCACGCCACTCCAGGGGAAGGATACTGCAAAACTTCCATTCCCACCCTATTCCAGGGGAAGGATACTGCAAAATCTCCATTCCCTCCCTATTCCAGAGGAAGGATACTGCAAAATTTCCAACTCCACTCCAGGGGAAGGATACTGCAAAATTTCCATTCCTACACCACTCCAGGGGAAGGATACTGCAAAATCTCCATTCCCTCCCCACTCTGGGGCCAGCCAGAGGTGACATTTGCCAGTTCTCCAAACTACTCAAAATTTCCACTACTGGTTCTCCAGAACCTGCTGGATTTCACCTTTAGGCAGTTGCTTGGGTGAGGGTACTTTGCATGCTTGTGGAACAGCTGGAGAAGGAACCAATGACTGGATGTCTTCATCTCACTGAGATGTCGAGCTCAATGATTGAAGAACAATTTTTAACTGCTTTGGGGGGATAAACAGCAACTTGGAATCCGCAGGGTCGTTGCTGGTGACCTCCTGGGCTTTGTGGTGGGTTCTCACTGTGATCTTTTTCTAGGCATCCGGACTATGATGACGAGAACGCTTATGGAGCCATCCTGCCACAAGTCGTGACTGCTGGAACAGTAACGCGACGTGCTGTGGAGCCCACGTGGCTGACTGCCAGCAACGCCAGGGTAAAAATGTCTTTTCAGATGCTTTGTGTTCAAAAGGCTGCACCACCCTTTTAGCCGTTGCTCCAGCGGAGCCGAATATGAAAATAGCACGAAAACAGGAAGTTTCAGGCACGTTTTTTGAGACCCTTCCAGACTTGCAACAGGAACCTATCGGTGTTGCTTTAGTCATGGGATAAGGGTCATTTCTCCCCCCACCCCAAGTCCCAAAGTTTGGGTTCGGTGCTGATTGAAGAGCTGCGGTGGCGCAGTGCTTGGAATGCGGTACTGCAGGCTACTTCTGCTGATTGCCGGCTGCCTGCAGTTTGGCAGATCGAATCTCACCAGGCTCAAGGTTGACTCAGCCTTCCATCTTTCCCAGATTGTTGTTGGCAATATGCTGACTCTCTAAACTGCTTAGAGAGGGCTGTAAAGCACTGTGAAGCGGTATATAAGTTTAAATACTATTGCTCTTGTTCTGGCTGCTTTACCCTCCTATATGGCCGGGCTAGACTTAGGATATATGGAAGAGTGGAATAAATTTGGCTTTTTTTCTGCCATACCCAATAGCAATAGCACTTGGACTTATATACCGCTTCATAGTGCTTTACAGCTCTCTCTAAGCGGTTTACAGAGTCAGCTCTATTGCCCCCAACAATCTGGGTCCTCATTTTACCCACCTCGGAAGGACGGAAGGCTGAGTCAACCTTGAGCCTGGTGAGATTCAAACTGCTGGCAGCCGGCAGTCAGCAGAAATAGCCTGCAGTACTGCACTCTAACCACTGCGCCACCATGGCTCATTAATGCCAGTGCAAGACGCAAGCCGTCTATGCACATGCGAAACCTATAAAACAGCATGACTGACTGTCCACATTTTGAAGAATGAACCTTTCGGCAAGCAAAACGATGGAGGTGGAGAAGGCATTTCTTTTTACTCCCAAGCCCACTCATCGACGGCGTCTTCCCGAGACGCAAAATCTTTTCCTCCATTTCTTGCAGACTGACCGGGTTGGCAGTGAACTGAAAGCGATCGTCCAGGCTCCTCCTGGTTACCACTTGGTTGGAGCTGATGTTGACTCTCAAGAACTTTGGATAGCAGCTGTTTTGGGAGAAGCCCATTTTGCCGGCCTGCATGGTGAGTATCGGCATACTGAGAAGTTTCCTCCTGGGAAACTCGGTAGTCAAAATATTGTGTCTGAGGCATAAACATTCTCTCTGCTTTTTCGATTAACAGCTCTTTTTTATAGATCAATTTTCTCCTTATTTTTAAAAGGCCTCTTGAATAGGTATCCTCAATTTATTACCCTATAATTGGGAGTAGGATTTCCATTGCTTTTTTTTAAAAAAAATTGTTTTGTTTATACAATCATATCATCTTTGCAGCACATTTTACATCTTTTACATATCTGCTGTTTCCTTTGTCTGTACATATATATCTTATCTATCATCTATCTATCTATCTATCTATCTCTCTCTCTCTCTCTCTCTCTCTCTCTCTCTCTCTCTCTCTCTCTCTTTCTATATCTATCTATATCTATCTATATCTCTTTCTATATCTATCTATCTATCTATCTATCTATCTATCTATCTATCTATCTATCTATCTATCTATCTCTATATCTCTTTCTATATCTATCTATCTAT